AGAAGCTACCTTGGAATGCACAAAATGAAACATAGATACGCTTCATTGAAATGCGTGAAATGAAGCATAGAGGAGCTTCATTGAAATGCACAAAATGAAACATTGAGAAGCTTTATTGAAATGCACGAAATGAAGCAAAGAAAAGCTTCATTGAAATGCATGAAATGAAGCATAGTGAAGCTTCATTGAAATGCACGAAATGAAGCACGGAGAAGCTTCATTGAAATGCACGAAAAGAAGTACGGAGAAGCTTCATTGAAATGCACGAAATGAAGCATAGAGAATATTAATTAAAATTCACGAAATGAAGCATAGAAAAGCTTCATTGAAATGCACGAAATGAAGCATAGACAAGCTTCATTGAAAAGCATGAAATGAAGCATAGAGAAGCTTGATTTTAATGCATGAAATGAAGCATAGAGAAGCTTCATTTTAATGCATGAAATGAAGCATTGAAACGCTTCTTTGAAATGCACGAAATTAAGCACGGAGAAGCATCATTGAAATGCACGAAAAGAAGCATAGAAAATAATAATTGAAACGCACGAAATGAAGCATAGAGAATATTAATTAAAATTCACGAAATGAAGCATAGCAAAGCTTCATTGAAATACACTAAAGAGAAGGATAGAGGAGCTTCCTACCACAAAAAAAAAAAATCNATTTGGTACTATCGAAACATCGAGGATTTGGTACTATCGAAACATCGAGGATTTGGTACTATCGAAACATCGAGGATTTGGTACTATCGAAACATCGAGGATTTGGTACTATCGAAACATCGAGGATTTGGTACTATCGAAACATCGAGGATTTGGTACTATCGAAACATCGAGGATTTGGTACTATCGAAACATCGAGGATTTGGTACTATCGAAACATCGAGGATTTGGTACTATCGAAACATCGAGGATTTGGTACTATCGAAACATCGAGGATTTGGTACTATCGAAACATCGAGGATTTGGTACTATCGAAACATCGAGGATTTGGTACTATCGAAACATCGAGGATTTGGTACTATCGAAACATCGAGGATTTGGTACTATCGAAACATCGAGGATTTGGTACTATCGAAACATCGAGGATTTGGTACTATCGAAACATCGAGGATTTGGTACTATCGAAACATCGAGGATTTGGTACTATCGAAACATCGAGGATTTGGTACTATCGAAACATCGAGGATTTGGTACTATCGGGACATCGAGGATTTGGTCCTATCGGGACATCGAGGATTTGGTACTATCGGGACATCGAGGATTTGGTCCTATCGGGACATCGAGGATTTGGTACTATCGGGACATCGAGGATTTGGTCCTATCGGGACATCGAGGATTTGGTACTATCGGGACATCGAGGATTTGGTCCTATCGGGACATCGAGGATTTGGTACTATCGGGACATCGAGGATTTGGTCCTATCGGGACATCGAGGATTTGGTACTATCGGGACATCGAGGATTTGGTCCTATCGGGACATCGAGGATTTGGTACTATCGGGACATCGAGGATTTGGTCCTATCGGGACATCGAGGATTTGGTACTATCGGGACATCGAGGATTTGGTCCTATCGGGACATCGAGGATTTGGTACTATCGGGACATCGAGGATTTGGTCCTATCGGGACATCGAGGATTTGGTACTATCGGGACATCGAGGATTTGGTCCTATCGGGACATCGAGGATTTGGTACTATCGGGACATCGAGGATTTGGTACTATCGGGACATCGAGGCTTTGGTACTATCGGGACATCGAGGATTTGGCCTTTTTTTCGAACATGACAAAAAAACTGTCCTAGAAACAACACAACGATTGAAAATTCATCGGCAGACTGTGGGACTTTATGAGGCAAATATCGTGATCAATACTGACTGATCACAAAGCATGATCAATTCAGACTAATTTCGGAAGACAGTGGTGAGAATGTAACACTTCATAAACCTGAAGCTTTCCAACTGAAATCGAGACACTTGATTGCTTCACAGAAGCTATAACAAGGCATATGTACTCGTATTTAATGAAGAAACCTCATGGGTAATCTGTAGTATAGATAAAAGTCATGTTAAAACATCGTACGTAATTCACCGAATCGATCATGCCATTTTGATGTAAATTTATAACTACTGACATGAGATCTAGGCACCCACAGTGTATGATGGTATCCGTTCCATCAACGAAATGGCATAAGACGCTACATGTTAGTCTAAACCTTGGATGATCTTTTGGGATCTCAGCGCTTGAATCTTGTTTGTAGTATCTGTAGCCTATATAAATATCGTCACAAATAGCGAAAGGGCAAAACGAATTTAGCTGTAAAAGTATTTATTCTTGTTCAACTCCAATGAAAATCTTTCTTACGAAGTATAAAAAGTTTTTACTTGCTAGTCCTACTCCCATCGCGTCCTTTCATCTTTCTTTCTTACCGATCTTACGGAATACGGATACATTGACCTTAGTCGATGCCATTCGTTTCTAAAGGTTTGTATTAATTTAACTAAAGGGCTTTTAAACGGGGGTTACCTGACTTAGCCTACCTTCAGTAGCGGGGGTTGAGAAATAGGATCAAATATTAGTTGATAAACTAAAATACAAGATTAGTGAAGACCCGCAGCTACTCCGCGATTGATTAAAGGAACGAGAGACAGAAACGGCATGCACAAAGTAATTAGGTTTGTACTCACCAACACGGAGCTGCTAACGTCCGTGCAATCATGAAGTGGATGGTTCTTCAGAGGGTTAGTGATCTTCCACTGCATTTATAATAAGTTTCTTAAACACATTCAACAGCCATGATGAGCAGAAAACTAAGTCATTCGTTATTGTCAGATATTTGGCACGAGCTGATTTTAATAAATAACCATTCGAGGCAATAATAATACAAAAAAATTTAGTTCACTCCAGCACCTCATCTTACAGGAACAGTTTCCAGTCAGGGCACGTGTACAGAGCGGGAGCAGCAACAGCTCATACCTCCTCTACTGACATCCACTTGCCTACTGACACGGCAGGACCGAGGCAGAGTTGCCAAGTGTTGGAAAAAAATGACAAATTACGTGACAAAAATGACAGATTACGTNCACGAAATGGAAAAGAATCGGCGACAGGCCACATCAGGCCTACACTTCAGAGCCGACATCACTATGTTATGTTATGTTATTAAGTGACAAATATGACAGATTACATGACAAATATGACAGATTGCGAGACAGAAATGACAGATTACCTATTCCCAAATATTAGGTATTTACGTAGTTAAACTGATGAGGTATTCACTCAAATTAAGTAGTAACGCAACTAACATCTTCACGCTTATCACGTACACATACATATTACGTACTCACACAAATTACTAATTCATACAAATTAAGTAATCACGCATATTGCGCTTTCAAACAAATTCCACCTTCACACATATTAAGCATTCAATTAAAGTATGTAAGTATGTAGTCACACATAACACGTAGTCACACAAAGTATGCTTTCACACAATGTTCATATTCATACAATCATAGATTGTGACGCCCGTGGTCATCACCCCTCACCAATATCATCACACACAAACTAATAAAGGACAACACAATTATGCAGCCGGAAGAGGAAGAGCCTCGATACTTCCGGCGCCATTGTTGAAAAAAATCAGACTTCAATATATCAAGCCAATTTAACAAATGTGAGATAGAACTTAGCAATTTTTGAAGTGTCGAAATGGATGCAAACAATAACTGCTTAGATTTTACACAGTTATGAACAAGATCTGTAACCACCCGGCCTCTATAATAATGAAGACAAAACAAAATATTTCTTACCGATACGGAAGTAAAAAAAAGAAATACACAACAACTAATTAGAATGGCCCCTCATTGTTTGCAACTACAAAAGTAATTAGAAAATTAACGAAATTACTACAACCACTGGACAAAGTATATTCAATAGACAATTGGCCGGATGATAGTGCCAGGCTTGGTCGCTTCCATGCCAGCTTCATCATCTAACACTATTTGAATAATTAAATATTCCAACTCTGAACCGATTTTATAAGAACTGAAGAACACAATTTCATATATAACTTATAGCCCTACGAGCAAAGTTAATTTTTTGGCTCGTTTTCAAATAAAATTTTATGATACACTAAAATGACTAAAGGTTTTTTACACCTGCAATAAGATGTACAGTAAGAACAAAACTCGCAGTTTTAACGAATGCACCACGAAATAAACTAAGATATAAATCTTCGTCACATCAATTATATGCACGTATCTTCATTACTAAATTCACATCGAGGGTAGCCTGATGTTTTCATACAGTTCCTTTGGTGAACCTAAAGATCATCTGAAAAATTTTCTCTGACCAGTGGCATAATTAAGCCGACTTTAGGGAAGATTCAGCCTCATAAATAACATTATGTTCGTTTATTGAAAATGCAGTGTTAAATAAGGCATTTGAAAAAATCAATTTTTGGTATTGTATGCTGTAAACATTCATAACTCGCTGTGTTTGTTCTTGTACTGCGCTACAAATGCTGTAAGCTTTTGATGAAATTAAAGTTCGTTCACATCTTGGACATCTTCTGAGGGCTGAGCCTCCTGGCCTTAAGATCTAGTGGCCGCCATGCCAATGGCTAAGCTGAGGTGCTGTTAATTGACTTATATAGCAATAGCATGGTAAATAGTGGCGATTATTACTTAACCCTTTGATCTCGGATACATTTACCGTTGTCAATGCTGTTTATACCTAATGGATTGGGACTGAGATGTCCCGTCAGTTACGGAATGGTTTCAACTTCTAGTAGCCGCCATTAGTGGCCCATAAGTCACGCACCTTAAAGGAATTCGTGATGCACAAAGCGACTAGATAAAAATTCGACTGCCTCGGTTTGATAGCAAGGCGGTGGCAGTGAAGGTGAATTAATATGACTGCAAAAATAACAGTTTTATTGAAAATCAGTTGTAATAATCATAAATCAGAAGACTAATCCTGACATTCGGACGGTCATTACACTACTTCTTGGCATCATCATCATATTTACAGCTCTCGATGTCAGTTGCACCCAAGCCCTACTCCTTGGCATCAGCACCACCCCAAGCCCTACTCCTTGGCATCAGCACCACCCCAAGCCCTACTCCTTGGCATCAGCTATTCCCCCAGCAGTAATGGCGAAGGTAGCCTCGCTCTCAGGCAGGTCGGGACTGTCGTATATTTTAGCGATCCTTGTCTCCCCGCGGCCCTTCCTGAGGGACACCCTCGTGGTGGAGGCGTGGGCTAGGATGTGACCCCCGATGGGCTTCTTAGGGTCTGCCTGGAAGGACATGGCAGCCCCAGGGTCTGAAGTCATCTGGTTGGTGATGACCACGGCCACGTTGTACTCTTCACTGATCTTCTGTAGACGCGACAAATATTGCGCGAGTTTTTGTTGTCGGTCTGCTAGTTCTCCGCGACCTGAGTAGTCGACCCTGAAGAGCGCCATGACGCTGTCCACGATCAGGAGCTTGAAGATGCCGCCTTCCTCGTGGAATTTGCCGGCCACGTGGTCGAGGATATCGAGTTGATGGTCGGACGTGAAGGCGCGCGTGTAGAGCACGTTGTCCAGTACGGCGTCCTGGTCCAGGTTGAAGCGGTCGGCGATGCCGCGTAGACGGTCGGGCCGGAATGTGTTCTCCGTGTCGATGAAGATCACCTTAAGAATGATGAATTTATAAATAATTATAAATATTGCGCTCGTTAATGTGAATACTCTAGTAATGCGAATACGCTTGTTAATGTGAATAATAGAGCGCTTGTTAAGGTAAACTTAGTAACATTGATGCTGTGAACTCAATGACATTATTATTTATATGAACTCACAAACTTACTATTTATATGTACTCTAAGGTCGCTATTAAAATAAACTCCTAACATTATTCTTAATATGGTTTCAAGACATAACAATTAATATAAACTCATAACATTACAATTACATGGAACCCAAGATGTGGTTAAATAAAAATTCAACTACTCAAAGAAAAATAACGTATCAATAGAAATGCCAGCGTCGTTACCAATGCACGAAACACGATCAGTTTTTNACGAGTTGCATCTGTCTCTTATACACATCTAGATGTGTATAAGAGACAGATTTTTAACCGCATATTCTTTAATTGAAATTTATATGATATTTTTAACCGCATATGCTTTAATTAAAATGTATGTGATATTTTTAACATCGTATGAATTGACATTTATGTGATATTTGTATCAAGTGCTAGGAATCGAGAGTCAACAAAAGTAATGGATGCGTTTACATCGAAAGATATTTTACTCAGTACATCAGAATCCATAATATCAAAAATAGTTACGAGCTCATAACTCCGTCTGCCAATCAGGGACGGCATTTCATGCTAAACCCACCAATCACTGTAGAGAGGTTCTCCGCTAGGTGCATTTAGCCCGCCACGTGTACTTGAGCTGCTACGCATAACGCTACATGTACTTTGGCCGCTACATGTACTTTGGCCGCTAGGTACATGTACTTGAGCCGCTATATGTACTTAGACCGCTACTGTCGTACTTGGCCCACCCTAAGTGCACTTAGGATTTAGGAAGCTACGTGTACTTTGGCCGTTACATGTAATTTGGTGTATTTAGTCTGCTGCGAGTATTTAAGTAAGAGTTTTGTTAGCACGGCTCCTGATGGGGGCAAAAATGGCGTTACCTTGAAGACGCAGCGCCGTCGCTCGCACACCACCAGCGCCGTGACGAAAGCATCTGCACCGCTCAGCTTCGCCACCACCTCAACATTACAACACGCATCAGTAAGAGTAAGTAACACTTTAAATATATAATATATATTTTAATAGAATAACTTACGGATATATAATAATATATAGAATTTTTTCAATGTAAATGAAAAAGATGGTGACATTATACCTCTTTGATCTTGTCGACTTTGGCCTCGGAGAGACCCTTGATGGCACAGAGCTTGCGGCGAGTCGTCATCTGCACGCCTTTGATGGTGCAGATGCCGACGCTCTTGAGCTTCTTGATGTCGGCGGCGTTGATGCCGTGTGCCTGCATCTCGTCGATGTCGGTGAAGAAGCTCGTCTCCTCGTCCTCCAGCTCCACGTCATCGCGCTCTAGGGCCTGGTCCAGCATCGTCGTCTGCTACTCTGCTACCAGCATTGGTTCAGTTATTACACAAAAAATAAAGTTACTCAATTTTTCGACTGAAATAAACATGTTGTTCAATAATAGTCGTCTGCTTAAATAATCACTAGAGTATGAATGAATATGACAAGGGTCTAGCAAACATCAATGAAATATCAGTGGCAAAATTCAATGAGAGAGAAGATCTGTCAGACATTGAATCGCTACCAGTACTCAATTTTGATGGATCATGGAGCGAAATGTCAGGCTCGTTGAAATAATTGAATTTGAATTAATAATACTTACAGAATTTTATACAATTTAAAACTGGCGGCAAGTTTTTGCGAAATGGGAGTATGCAGCAAAGCAGATGTGTCATAATGCCTATCAATAATATTACTTTACACCCGTTATTTGAGCTGTATTTGAAACATGTCACACAGTAAACACACAACTATTGTTTTGTCAGTATTTATTACAAATTGTCACAATTATCAGTTGTATATACACGAAGAAAATTATGTTCATGAATATTATGTTTTCAAGCTCTTACCAGAATGATCGATGTACGAATTTTTGATTTGCGAATTTAAAGACTATTTTGGCGACGTCAAGACTTACTCAATCTCGGTCAATCGTGACAATGACGCACATGCACGCCGAGCCGGGGAGTGACGGAAAACACTTTTCCGAATATTATTTTCAAGATTGTAGCGGTAATTTTTCCTATTATAAGAGCCTTTTAAATTCCATTTTAATCGAAAAATTTATCTCATCCCTCAAAATCATATCATTGAATAACAATTGCGCATATATAAAAAAATTATTTTTTGAATTAGGTATCATAATCGTACATCAAAATTTAAGGGCTTGACCAGAGAGATTTGCAAAATGCCTAGGTACTTCATCTTTCCAATTTATGTTCATTTAGAATATTTTCTAATTATATTTATTCATTTCATGCGCGTTCAAACTATTACTTTGCAAATATGCTATGCATTTATGATATTTTTAGTTAATTTATGTTGAATTGCTTTTCTTTCACACAGATTGTTTTTTGCCATGTTCAAAAATATTTTCGAAGAACGTGAGTTTATTTGTACATTAATATGAATCCACCCGTGGTGATGAACACGAATTATTCATGTTTTCCGGCAAAGCTGTAGTCAAATTTAGTCCTGACGAGTCTATGGCTTCATTAGGAACTGCTAACTTTTCACATAATATTTGACACTCAAAATTATTCGAAACTATCAACTAAGGCATTTACAGGGAAATTTCTGAGATTAGGGTAATACTTGAAAACGCAGCAGGATTCAGGCTTATTCCAGGAACTTTTCTTCTTCATTGTTTGATTAAAACTCCCCTCCAATGTAATTGTAATGACCTGGTACTCATGTAAGTTCTTAATAAATGAATTAGATTTGATTATTTCTCTTATTGCTATACGTATAAACGTCATTGACTACATACCGCTGTGACGTTTAGTACGAGGTAATATTTAGGGTAACTTATTATTTACATTTTAGGGATTGCAGTCAGGTGATCGATCTTGAGTTGTGGGGTTGTGAGTAAATTAGTTTACCAGTGAAGTCCTACTGGGGAAAGTAAAATTTCCAAGTAAGTTTACATCTATCAGTTGAATTGTGAAAAAAAGTTAATCACTTTTGTGAGTTGATTTTTCAAGTCTCAATCATTGAGACTCAATGTTTCGCTAATTTTGTTTATAAACTGTTTTGTATCTTAGACTGGGTGATAAAATCAATTTTATTTTTTGGTAAAATAACTCCAGGTTTTGGTGCATTGTAGTAGAACTCTTCTAGTTACATACCTATATGCAAATTAAAAATTTGAGGAAAGTGTCATAGTTTGCAAATGGGGGGGCGCTGATCCTGAATGGGGGAATTTAGACCACCTTATGTTTGTAGGTCTTGGGCATCTTGAACTAAGGTCAATACCTTATTATACCTATAAGTTTAAACTTTATATACCTAATTAGAGTCTGAAACACAAAGAAAAACATTAATAGGCATATCAAACATAAAATATGTTATATATGGTAATTTTAAATTAATTTCCTAGCTGGTCTACGGTATATTACCCCATCAGGCTGACAGTAGGCCATGGTCAGCCGGTATGGAAAATTGGGCAAAAACCACCCGTGGCCAAGCAAAAATCACCCGTGCACGTGGTAAACCTTCACCCGTGCACGTGAGACAATCTCACCCGTATTTTTAGCCTTTCCACTCGCACCCGTAGGGCCGTAGCGCACGCGGTTTACGAGGATTTCACCCGTAACGACCATAAGCGAAGTATGCCACCAGAAATAACTCATTAAACGCAAGCCAGCTTAGCCAGGCATAACCAGATCTGA